TCTCAGATATTGCTCAGTGGGGAAAATCCAATAATTTATGCAATACGTTTGTTATGGCATCCCAAATATTAATAACTTTAATAAATAATTTTGTAAGCTATAATTTTGTGATTTTCCACACACTGCAATATTCATTCATAGCTACTGTATATCTAAATCATGTACACACTCTCAAAGTCCAGGACATTGGATGTGTCACTTAATATTAAGAAGTATCCCATGGTTAACAACATTGCTATCGATAATGGATAATGAATTCTTAGTCATGATAGATATTGCCGAACAACTATTGAGAAGAGATCATTAATCAGAAGTATTGGGGCAGCTAATTTGCAAACTCGCTTGCGAATTGGCTAACTACTTGGGTTTTGACTAAACAGTTGGCTTTCCAATCTCACTGACGCCATCCTGTCAGGCCCACTCTGGGCGAATCTATATAACAGCAGGGAACGGTCTTCAAACTTTAGGAGCTCATCAGCCATATGGATGACGATTTTGCTTTCAAATATACCAGGGAAAGTGTTATATGTGTAATGAGGTATTCGTATACAAGGGACTGACCACACACAAAATTTTTTTTAGCGGTTGGCTAATGTTACCCCGACGGATTATTTAGATGTGAAAGTTTATCATTTTCTTCCTGATTTGTAGGAAACTGTTTATCAACTTGTCTCTTTATTTAGTTTCAAGCAGTGTTTAAGATGGCTGCCCCCATTTAGTAAATATTGACGGATTATTGGATGTCATATTATCGCTTTACACCAGCTGACTGTAGCCATTCTAAGGCTTACTGGGGAAACTACTTTACATTATCACGCCTCGTAGCAAAGCAAATCATTCAGGGGAATCTAGACATGTATCTACCAGGCTACGTAAAAACATTCTATGTCCCCTAATGCAACTTTGACTCGTCAAGTGTCAGCGCCAGCGAGATTGGAAAGCCAACTGTTTAGTCAAAACCCAAGCAGTTAGCCAATTCGCTAGCTAGTTTGCAAATTGGATGCCCCAATACTTCTGAGACTCACTGTAAGATTGTATGAAAACATCACAGTTATTTAAGAGGCCGTAACATAGCATCATACAGCACAAATATGCTTTTGTAAGCAATTATTTTCATAGTACATCTTTGATGAAAGATATATACATGTACTGGCATATTGGGTCAAACTACAGTCATTCTAACATGGTCGACTATGTACTTGTCTGCTCTCCATATATTTGTTGAGTAACAATTCCGACATGCTTTGTATAACAAGAGTGGTAGTCAACATTATTTATAGCTACTGAACCTGTCCCACTGATCATGCAATATCAATAAAAAGCAGCATATCAATAAATTCCAATATTGCCAAGAGAAATTAATCAAGGCATACTGAAAGGGCAGAGGATGTCACTCCAACACGAGTTCCATACATCTATACATGTAAAACATATTTCTTATTCCCTCAGATTTTGAGTGGTGCAGCATAAAGATTGTGGTACGGTGGTCCAGAAGAGTCCACACAAAACACAGCTGCAATGTGTAGAGATATGTGATGTTTACTTCCTGTTCACTTTTCTATTTTAATATGATAATATACGAGTTGTAGAATTAGACCAACAAACTGCTTCACACATGGTTTTTTTCTATTCTCACAGACGGACAGGAATAGAAAGTCAGTAGAAGACAAAAGATTTTTTCATTAGCATGGGGAAAATTCGGCTAGCGTGGGGGAAAACAGAGGTGTTAATCCGAAAATTCATTGTCTTTTCCTGTTTGTGATTGGTCCTGGCAATGTTTGGGAAATCGTGATGTAGCTCCGACTGTGAGAATAGATATGGTGAATATTGCACGTAATCTGCTAACACATACCATATTAGAGCACATCTCCAACAGACGCACATACACACTAAAAATAATTGTTGTTGTGTAGTTAATGATTAAAATTATTACTTATTTTGACCATAGACACACACCTGAAATTTATTCAAGCTTATACACTACTACCGTACTCGACCGTGTCAGCGCCCAAGGGCCTCAACTCAGAAAAATCATGATTTTGTAGGGGTGGGCGCTTACCCGAGCACCCCCTTCGAAAAAGAGTGCAAATGAAAATTTTGATTTATCAAGTGACAGATTACGTCTTTGAGGGAAAATCAAATTACTAAATTAGTTGCGTTGTCATTGATTTTCACAATGAAGAAACAGAAATGATCACAAAAAATACGCACATTTTATTACAATATTAATTACGTACCACCATAATTTACGGAATTAAAAACATTTGAGTCTGTTGGAACACAGTCGAAGTCAAAATTGTCATATTATTTCCACTGACGAAGTTATTGGATCGTATGCAAACTCTCGATGAAAATCACTTTCTGCCATGATGCAATTGCAGATTTGACCTACAGCAGCGTCCTTTGACCTAATGGGTCAAGTTGGTTATTAACTAATCAGAATGCTGTGTTGTACTGACACAATTCTTCGGAAATTCTCGAAGACTTTTCGGTAACGCAATGCAGAAGTTGGAATTGATTTCAGCAAATAAACGACATGGTTTTTCCAAAAAACTAGTAACTAGCCATTTTTGAGAGGTAAACCGAATATGGTATGAAATATTTATCGCATTTTACTTGTATTAACAGGTCATTGTCAAAGCATAGTTTATGCACGGTTACCGTGTTCTACGCATTCACAACATGTTCACAGCGATTGATATCCACGCTGTATCATATAAAAACGATTACCAAGATTCGTTACACAGACCAAGTTTTAAATTAGTTGCATTTTGAAGGGTGGGCGCTTTGCCGAATGTGACCCCAAATATAAAAATTGCGCAAAAGTGGGGGGTGGGCGCTTGCCCGGGCATGTCCGCTTACGCGGTTGAGTACGGTAATAGAGCAAATATTATGGTTGCAGACAATCTTGAAATGCATGTTTTGGCCATTCAAGTACTCTATACATATATATCTTATTTGTTCCATTAGTAGCGCATGTGCTTATGTGAATGACATAGGGGTGCACATGTTTTAAAAAAGTTTTATTTTAATGATCAAGCAGACAAATTTGTATGTGTTTCCCCAGTAGAGCAAATATAGTATATACTATTAACATAACAAATCCCCTCTGATTTTTTTTTATAAATATTGTTTTTATTTTCAAAATTTAAACTGAAATGAGGTTTCCATTGGCCAATGGAATAACATCAAACATTTTCAAATGACGTCTATGTGTACTGTGCATATTAATTGGTAAGTTGGATTCCATTGCCATTGAAATTTATAACTATTTATAAAAAAAAAAAAAAAAAAAAAAAAAGAGAATTGGTTTGTTGTGTCAATAGCATTTAAGTGACCAGATCTAAGCTACGAAATTAAAAAAAACCTGTGTATAGAGGGTTAAAAAGTAATGCTCACCTGATCCCTGCCAAGAATCTGCACCATTTGCAGCATCTGTAATATTATTAAGTGCTCCATCAGTAGAATGATTACCCGGCTTATCCGCACTAGACATGGCACCTGGAAATCCTGATGAAGGTATATTCCACACCGGATTGGTACTCTTTGGATTAGCACCCGTGGGAAAACTATTCCCACTTCCTGTAGAGAAAGACAATCCCTGCCCTTCTGAGCTCAGCCCCCATCCAGAAGTGGGTAGAGTAGACTGGGAGGCAGGATTGGTAGGCGGCCCAGAATTTTGCATTGCAGCTTGAGTAAATGTGAGGTTTGGTCCATTGCCAGTACTGGTTGTGGCTTGTGCCATGTTTCCACTCTGCATTCCATTAAGGTTTGCATTTTGTGAGTTTTGCTGAGGTCCTCGTCCACCTCCGCCAACTACAGATGTCCATGTTGGGTTGCTCCCTAAAGAGTTTGATTGGGTGGTATTATTTCCACCAATGTCATTAGATGGAAATCCACGCAGACTGGACACATTAGATGTAGTTGCCAAGGTACCAATCGCACCCCAGCCAGAGTTAATACTCATATTGTTCAGTTCACCAGCACCTTCGTGACTCTGTTTATTCACAGGCGAGATAACAGAGCCAGAGTTCAAGCTTGACGATAAACTATCGTTTGTAGCACCCCAAGTAGAAGATCCACTTGACGACTTTGTACTCCAATCAGGAAAATTCATGGCATTTGCACTTGTGGAAGAATTGGCACTTCCTGATCCTTTATTCTGAGCTTCGCCCGTAGAATGACCAATATGGTTCATCTGGCCAGGCACATTGGACATAGAATTCATTTTAAAATCAAAATTTGGATTAGAGGCAGCATTATCTGTATTGTTCCCAGATTTGATGGATTCATCATCATTGTCTACCATCATTGCAGCTGACTCTAAACCCTTTCCTCCGATTGCTGGCCAGGCATCCTGGTCCTTTCCGTCCACAACAACATGATTCCAGCCACTACTTGGCTCATTCCAGACAGAGAAATCACTGCTGGCTTCAATCTCCATTTTATCCTCTGTAAACACACAGAAACTATATCATTAGAGCAGACACTGATGCAAATGTATCCTGTATATAATTAATAAATAGTCGTACATGTATCATCATAAAAACCAGGCGACGCTGGGTAAAAGTTAATTCCATAATTGATATAACATTGAAGAAATACATGTTAAATTCCTGTGGAAATGACAATGTTGTTATAAAATAACAAGTAATGTTCACAGCTTTATACAAAATGTGGTTGCATTCTTCTCCTTCAATCCTTCTCCTAAAGCTGCATTGAGGGTCTTAGGACTATTATGTAAATATTTTCTCTGATCCAAAAGCCTGTTCAAATTTCTATATTATTTGAAAATGACTTCCTTACACTGTGGTTTTCAATGCATAGGTGATGTCACTGTAATAACATAACCTATATTTTATATTTGCATATAGATCTGGTAATTATAAACAGGGAAGTAGATGGTTGGTATTACAAAGACAAATCCATGCAAATACCCATTAATGTACTGTTACTCATATGATACCCCATATCTATATCTATACATGCTTACCCATTTTTTTACCGTTTGGTAGTTGTGTTTGTACTGTTTTAGGTTGCTGCTCCTTTTTTAGTTGATTCTTTTGTTGTTGCTGTTGGAATCTAGGTGGTACTTCACGAGGATAACGCGATTGTTGTTGCTGCTGTTGTTGTTGCTGCTGCTGCTGTTGTAACTGTGTGTTCTGTTGTTGCTGTCTCTTTGCAGCCTGTACTTTGGCTTGTTCTGCTTCTAAAAGTGACATAATATCAAATTAATAATCATGGAGACGTTTGCTAAAAATGTTCCAACGTTATTCCAACATACTTATTCATCAACATAATAATATTAGAAGAATGCAATAACGCATTTTCAGCAGTGACTGCAGTTTATTTTTTTAAATATACAAAATAGGATTTTGGATTTCTTGATTATTGATACATCTAAAGCGCATGCATTTACATTAACCAAATGAGATTTGGCAAGCATCTGCATAAAGTGTAGGCTAACTATTAATTTATGATTTACATACCTTTGGCTTTTTGTTCAGCAAACTGGTGGGAGAAAAAATAATAAACACTGAAATTGACAATTAGTTTCAGACAAAATACTAAATATTTTTTATACCATAGCATTAACCCTAATTAATTAATCAGAAACTAAACCATTCACAAGAACGATGATGATCTTTGTCTTTTACATAAAAAAATCAGCTGCTATCAATACAAATACTACTGCTAGTTAATGGGATACTTCAAAAGCATCATAAATCATTGTGATATCACAAAATTTCCATGTAATAACTTCTTTATCAATACAATTTTTATTATGCAATCAGATGTGAGAGGTTCAACGATTTTGCAGAAGAAGATGATGATGCTGTGTACACATAAAACTGGACCAGCAATGGTAGGGAGGGTTCCTGTCAAGGTGGTTTCATAAATTGGTGCAGATATCAACTCTGTAGTTACACACCCACCTTCTTAGCTTCTGCTTCCTTCTTCTTCAACTTCTCTTTTTCTTTCTTCTTTAATTCTTGTTGCTTTTTACGTTCAGCTTCTTCATCCATACCAAGCTGACGCTCGTTTTCGCGTTCGAGGACTTCTCTCCTCTTTTTTTCTTCTGCTTCTCTGATAGCCTTTTCTATTTCTCTGTGAGGGAATAAATAAAATAAAATAACAAATTTAGACTAAATTTACAGAGATGATAAAAATCAAACCAACGGTTTCTGGCTTTAAGAAGCTATTTTGTCCTCTGCGGAACTCCGGGAGGACTGTGCTATATTGCAAATATATTCAAGAATATTCATGAGCTGAAAGATTAATGCGATACCTCATTTTCGCAAGCAGGCTATACGAATTGAGAAACATTGTTTTACTCCAAAAGAACGTAAATTGCTGTAAAATGAAACAACTAAACATCACTAAAAAATTCCTGAACGCTCGTACATGTGAACATTGTAGAAAAGTTTCAGCATGACCGATTTCTTGGAGTAGTGTAAATAAAGTGTTTGTTTATTCATCAAAGTGCTGATTTCAAAACATTAGGGGTTGTAATATTTGCAGTGTTACGTTTCTTTGTTCAAGATGGTCACTATTTGGCAATTTGTAATCATGTACTAACTTCAATGATAAAGATGCATATTCTAGCTGAAGACGCACATTTGAAACTAGTGACTCAGTAAATGGGAAGGAGATTTTAGACTAGTTTCTCAGGGATTAACATTAATTTTGTTTTAGATGAGATAATATAATTTTGAAGCATGCAGCAGCCAGTGCTAGAAAATAATCAACTAATATCCACCTTTCTTTTCGTATTTTATCTTCTTCAACCTGCTTCTTCTTCTCTTCCTCTAGCCTCTTAATTTCAGCCTAGAAATAGACAATACATCATTTTTTTGGCATGACGTTGTTCTATTTGAAGACAGAAATTGCAGACGGGATTGAATACTTACTAAACACTATACTTCAGTGATACAGTTATTTTATCTCTCAACATTATATATTACTACCCGAATATGGTAGACTATTTACTCAAACCAAAATAGAACAAGCATTCTCTATGCTGGCTGTGATAGTTATCACATACAGCTGAACAAATAATTCACTCTCCAAAATAACCTTCAAGACACCACCCAGTGACAAAATGCAGCAGAAACGTCAAGGTGTGAACAACATTAGAAAATATTTGAATTTATTCATGAAGTATTATTAATTAATCTTGCATGGAATATCTGTTTCAGTATATTAATAACCATATTTTTCTCCAAATGGAAATTAATTCTGATATATTTTTCTATGTGAATAACATTACATTATTTATATTATATGTATATTAACATTGTAAACTTATCGGATGATCATTTTTGTAATGACAACAGATACTTTGTTGCCATAATCTTAAGCAACTGAGAAAAGTGAAACACTGATTTCTACTCACCTGTTTTCTTTTTTCAAGTTTCTCTTGATCAACTTTAGCTTTTTCGTTTAAATCATGTGCAATCTCTTGCATCTCCTTCTCACGCCGACGTTGTTCGGCTTTCAGCTGCTTTTTTGATTTCTGCTTTGGCTGAAACAAGATTTGAAGATAAGAAGTAAGAGGTTTACAAAATCTAGTGTTGTTGAATCAACATACTATCCTAAGAAATGTTATTAAACTGATGATACCTTACAGACAGGCACAGATTGCTGTTTGGATTTCTTTCCAGATTGCTGAAAATGAGAGAAAAAGAAGAAGATTCAGTTAAATCAGTCTAAACTATATAGACCACCATCAAGCTATCTCTGTATAAAGCGCAAACCAGCCAAAAGTGAACCCAGCGTAAACTGGAAACCAATCAACACCAGACATTTTCAGCCATTTTGGTATTCAAAACGGTTGTATCTACTCAATGTAACTAACTATGAGGGAAACAAGCATAATTAGGAATTGATATAATCTCATTTGAAGACAAAAATAAAAATGACACAGCAGTTTAGAAAACATTGAACTAAAGCACTTGGTATGCATAATACAAGATATGGCATGCAATACAAGTGGGAATACAACTTCAAAATTAATTGGCATTACCTTTTTTGCCTTGTCTAGTTTTCTAGTTTCTCTCTCTTGAATTAAACTTTCTTTCAATTTTGCCAGTTTATCGTCAGTAAATGCGTCTGATACTGGCTTTCCTTTTCCCCTTCGATTCTATAATAAAAATAACACATGTAAATGTACTGTAAAAACATGCAAGCTGCAAAACGAGTCTTAAGTGCAGAGAATGATATCCTGGCATTATCCCTAATACATGTACAAGACAATATCCCCATGTGCGACCATCAGAAGGTCACAATTCACCTTTCCACAGCATTCCACAGAAGATTCTGACCAATAGCATGACAGCATCTCACCTCAGAACTCTGACAAGCAACATGTTCTTATCAGCCGCTGATGCATATTCAGTCAGAAAATGTACTTTCAATATGTAACATGTACCTCTTTGATTAAATACATTGTATATGTGAAAATTGTATGTCATCAATACATGTCATTTGGAATGTCAAAAAATATTTATATAGAACAGAAAACAGCGTGAAGACAGCCAAACATTGTTGAACTAGCAGTGGTATTATAATGTCTGATTGTGGAGAGGTGAATGCCTATTCTAACAAATTTAGACTTGCCTTAATTATTTGAACAAAGGAGTCAAATTCTTTTTCTCCAGCGTCCTCCTCCTCTTCATCATCGATGTACATGGACATTTCTTCATAAGAAGAATGTTTTTGGCCGGCAGCAAAGAACAGGAATACTCCGATATCTACGGGATAAAGAAAATAAATACATTGCAGAAAGTAGAACAATTTCTTGAAATGCTAGCCTAATTTCAAATAAAATCAAATATAATTTAAGATATCTATAAGAAATCCTAGAGACTGATTAACAGACAACTCAACTTTTACCCATGAGGATCTATTAATTTATTATGCATACCTCTGATTTTCATCTTAGTTCTGATTACAATCCAGTATGTACAATTGTACTTTATCCATTTTTGTAGACATGCACATGTAAGTCATAAAATTTGTTCGACTCTCGAAACACTTCAACACATTGCCAAATTTACAGAGCTGATACAGTAGAACAAGCCTGTATGAACTGACTCTTTCACAAGTCTATACATACTTCAAAACTAAGCAAATACAGTAAGCAGGTAGTGTGCAGCCATTATGTCTCATTGGAATGCGTTCAAGAATAACACAGTTAGAGACGTGAAAGTATTCCTCTCAGTCTCTAGTGTGAATAACTAAATAACCCTTATATGTAACGAAAGATCAATCCCAACACACCACTATACACCATGGAAGTGAATAATCCCACTATTACTCACAGGTATACATACCACAACACATGACGGAACATTGTTGCCAAGTCAAAATATCTGGAATATTTATAGTTACTTATATAAAACAACATGTCCTTACCTGGTTTCTTGCATAATAGCACATTTTCAAATAGCCTTGAAAATAACTGCGAGACATGAAAAAAAAAACAATATTGTATTAATTAACTACTGGGAAAAAAAGAACTTGATGACTAAACTTAAAGAAAGTCACAATCATGTGTTGTTCGGGAATCCATCAGATGAATAGGAATTCCCACTAACAAGGAGGAACTTCAGATATTACATACACCCCAAAATTTTCAGCTACTGCTTTATGTACCAAGCAGTGAAGAGAGAGAATGATGCAATTGTTTTGAGTATTAAACTGTCACCAGATATTTCCTCACTAATCACTCAAATACATCTAATACATTCAACTTTAACCCCAATGTCGTTAGTAACATTGGAAAACACAAAAAAATACTTTTAAATTGTTACAACATTAAATTAACAAGTATACAAAATACAGGTAAACATGGTACAGTGAAAACGTGTACCGGGTAGTGAGTATTATGCAAACCATTGATTGGACAACCACCACTGTTCTCATTAAAATTTCATTCCCACTTCGCAATTACTAGTACGTGAAAAAAACACTCAAACAATAAATATTTTCAAATGATGAAGTTGTATATTTTAAAAGTCGATATTTTGCTATCATTTTCTTTTCTATTTCATTTTGAGAGTATTGGAGTGTCTTATGTTGCAAATTTTGATATCTCTTGATATATAAGTGATCTTACATTTTAGATGTCAGTGTTAATTTTTGGCAGATTTACATGTTTCTACAAAGTTCCAACAAAACATTGACTGCCACATGCATGAAATTTTCGCTAAACCTGCTGAGGCTAGATTGTATCTTGGTAATCATATAAATTTGTATTTCATCCGAAAAAAAACAAAAACACTATTTATTATTTATTTAATCACTATTAATTCATGCACTTGAAAAATAAAACAATTTTTTTCTACCTAGTTTAACACAGTATTTACGAAAACAGACTTCTAAGGTAAAAAACAAAACCCAACTTAGTTTAGAATATCCTTTTTCATGAATATCTCAGCAATTGTTGGTGTAGAGGGTACAATAAGTGGGAATACAACTTTAACCTCAATAATACTAATAGAATAATGAAAATGTTTATGCCGTCACCAAAGCTTTAAATATGAAAAGTTCTTTGCATGGGAATTTTATTTGGTCACAGGAAGGCCCTATGGACTCATTTTTTTCACCACCATTTCTCTATTGATTGTTTCTGTTGTCTGCCAGCTTACTGACAGAAAATGGTAGAATTAGAGGGCTGTGTGTTTGTGTTTGGGCTTTAAGACAAACACAGCCCAGTCATCTCATGTCATACCTCATTCGAAAGCTGATAAAATATTCACAAGAACATTTATGCTACTAATTACTCAACTACTCCTTCAACAATGACATTTGGGTTAAAGGTTTAATATTTAACTCTGGAACAGGTAAAGGTTTGTTCTAAATGAAAATGCATTGTATACAAATATAAAACATGTTTTAAACTGTAATATATGCTATAAATAGTTGATGAGTAATGTCAAAAAAAAGAGATAAAAACAGCATTTGTTGATACTTTGACATTTTAAGATTTGGTGTTAAATCTTTTAATGTTAAATTCAAGGTAGTATTTGTGAATACGAAGAGTATGTTGAATGTCATTTGAAAGTTTAATACATCTACAACATATGAAGTACCGAGAGAATTTATCAACAGTTGACCATTACGGGTGAAGAAACATAAAATTTGGTGAAAACAAAAAATGCTTAAAAATATGAATTTTCATTTGAATTAAGAAAAAAAAAACTGTTGCTGCGAAATAAAATTGTTTTGTGGTATCCTGTAAACAATATATCTTGTCAGAAGGAAGCAAAATGGGTTAAAAATAATGATTTTTGTATTTTATGAGTTTTGGAAAATGTATAAACTATGTATAAAACGGTATAAACTATGTCTGAATTTGGTAAAATAGTCAATCAATAAAAACAAACCAGTCGATTGCTAGGTGGGGTCTGTAAAGCTCATTCCCGTTTCATTTGCAATGTCATTACGAAATAATCCCATCACAAAACAAAACAAGAAAGAAAAAAAATAAATCTGATGTGGCGGACCATCTTACGGTAAAAATTTGCTGCAAAAATGGCACTAAAGCAGTCACAAATGTATTTTTAATCACAATATTTGAAAAGGTCACAACAATAATCTTTTCAGACCAGTATACCATGAAATGGTGGTGTCCACGAGTGAAACCGGTTTATCTCGGTGCTGAAAAGGTTAAAATAGGTTGACTAACACATGCCACAAATATGTAAGAGATAATATTATTAAAAAAAAAAACATGTACACACCTGATTACTATCTAAGTCTTTATATTCATCGTCTGTAAACAAACAAACAAAAAAAATGCCATTTAAATCGCCATTGCATCAGTAACACAATATTCAACACATCTCAATGAATTATTACCATTACAGATTGTTCGCACTCCAGATGGTTTAGATGACAAATAAAGAATATAAAATGTTATAGAAAACACAGATTGAATAATACTTAATACACGACACAGTAGGCAATTCCAAGAATTATTACAAAAAACACATGCTTATTATAATATCTTTAGATTAACCTCTAAACAGAAGAGTTTTTCGAATAAATTTGCTGCAATGAGAGACACAATAAATCACAATTGTCTGGTGCAGACATGTTACTGCCCTACTTTATAAGAGTCGCAATGCAGATATATTCACTGTTATATGAACACTAACAGGTGTGAAAAGCAGTACATCTCAACCCAAGATTATGTGTCATATATTGCTTGATCATAAATATTGCATCACAACTTTTACTGCCCACACAATCTTAACATAAATATACCTAGTTTTCTTAATACTGTATTACTGATGTCACCTTAAAGCAGGTGATAGTGATACAACACTACTTTTATTCTCAATATTTCAATGACAATACATTATATGCAACTGTAATGTAGCATGAATTTGTTACAAAGCATACATTAACATACTAACATATTTTCTGGACCAAGATTTAGGTTTAACTAAGCTAATTTGGACAAATGAGAACAAAGGGAAAAATTGATAATAGGCAGGATAAAATAGTAGCAATGTTAAACCAAATTTGTTCTATTACGGTAGTAGTGTATGCTTTTGCGTAAATTACAATTACGTAAATTTGTTCAAATAAGTATTATTAATGATTTGGTATACTACAAATAATATTTTGTGTTCACATGCTCTTTTATTGGAGATCTGTGCACTGCTAGTAGAGCAAATACAGTAGTTTGTGATTTTTTTACTACTAGTGGTAGTTTTGAATGATTGATTTTCACATCACTGAGGGCAAAGATCGATTCAAGTTAAAATCTAATTTGGGTCTGCTGATTCAGATCCAACTCCAACCACCACACTAGCTATCAATGAATGATTAGTAAATTTTATACATATGTGTTAGGATTTCTCAACATACATGATTTCTGTGTAATACGTGTAGTATATATCAGACACTACCGCAAAACTGTTACCAATTGATTATGCAAGCAAGGTCATTTTGTTTAAATAAAAGGTGATACTATATGTTCGTATCAGCATGGCCAGTACAGCTAGTATGGAAATGTTGACATGTATACCTGCTTCATTAAACGTAAAATAATCCAAAAGAGGACCTGACTGGATTAATGGCTAGACTGTATTAAAAACTGTTCTTTCCCCTATCTTACACACACACACACACACACACACACACACACACACACACACACACACACACACACACACACACACACAACAAACAAACACAGGTATAATAAACTAAAGTAACGCCTTGATTGACAGTATATGAAAAACATTTTACGAGCTGAAAAGCCGCATTACCATTAAAAGACGACTTTCTATTTGTAAAAGATACTGCTCATAATGGAAATGTCCAATGATGTAATAATAATGGGCCTCTGAACACTACTCTCACTGCTTACAGACAGCAACGCCACTGAATCTGTTAAAACATCACAGATAACTTAATTACAAGACATAATGCCTTTCAGGTACTACCTACAGGAATTAACCAAACAATGAAAAACAGTGTCTAACACAGCCAGCAATAACAATGAGGCATGGTAGGCATTTCACAAAGTAAAATAAAGAAAATTGAAACAACTTGCAATATCCATATTTGTCAATGATGCATACTCTTCTCGCTGTAGCAACATATATAATGTAAACAAAAATACCTATTATAATTAATAACTGAATGAGGTGCAATGTGAACCAAACATTCCATTAAATTGAATCACAACTATTTATTTATATGGCCACTAACACAACACAAAACATTCTGATATTAATTTATTATTTTACGCTAATAATATTCATTATTGTTGACAGGAATCTCGCTACGCTGGTCGGCCTGACTGACACTCAAAATCAGCGACCTCCAAAGAAATGCTTCCGACCAGGACTATTGTGCGATTGTTATTATAATTACTTACCGATATGCATCCTGCCAGTCCTGGATTATAATTTGTAAACAAAAGACCTAGTCGCAGGATGTGGCTAGTCAATTTTGTGATATTAGCACCTCCTTGTTTGTAAGTTAATACAACATTAGTCTGAAGATCGACTCAGTCTTTAAATTAAAAGCTAAAATTCTTTCAAAATCAATTCCACCTTGATATAACATGATCAAAGAAAAAAATGTGTTTATTGCATGATTGGGTAAAATACATTTTAACTCATATCATTGCGAATCATGTAAAAACTCTTCTTTCAAGACCTATTTTACCTTTTAAAAATTGCTAATCACCTCTTGAGAAAATCAAAAATGTAGTTTTCAACTTAAATCGATACCAACACATTGTGCTATGACATTACTTTACTTCCGCAATGTAATTTTTATGATCACTACCATTCGGAAAACTTTGGGTTTTATCGGCATTACCATGCAGCATTCTGATTGGTTAATGGCTTGACTCATCGGGTCAAAGGACACATGTCGGTCAACTAATGCGTCACAAACAATGGCGGGTCTATGTTTTTTACCAAAGAAATCAAGTGATCAAAAATAATCGCTTCTGATCGATGAAACTAAGTCAAATTTTACTTTTATTTCATATCAAAAAAAAAAGTAACACACTGTAAATGTAATTAAATGACAAATATTATACTTTATTAACCTTGTCTTTACAGATTCTGACAACGGAGAAGAGCGTTTCAGCAATCACAAGACTTGAATATGCAGTGAACTATCCAGGAGTGCAACCAGAATGGTGTGATGGCTATACAGATTTGATGTTTCTGGGATATTTGCAAAATTTTAAATTCACAAGTAAAAGAAACAGAATTACATTCTATTGTTAAATGTTAATATTCACCAGGTTTTGAATTGATGAACTTGATAGTTATCATCAAAACAAGCCCTAGCTAATAATTAAGCCTTGGTTTAATCCTTTGAGTGCTGAGTGCCAACCTGTATTAACATTTCCAAAATGAAAACATGCATTTTTGTTCTCTAAAGATTTGATCCAGACCTGTAATCAATGAAAAATTATGTTTATTTGGTTCAAAATTATCGAAGAAATTATCAAAAAAAAATAACATATTATGCAAAATGATGCACCAAAAGTGTTTAAAGAGTGAAGGATGGTCAACCCTAATCCAGTTCAATCTGGTTTTGAATTTGACCCATAACCTACTAACCTATCTTAACATTACAATTAATATTGATTTTCTCAACAATTATAAACTACAGTGATCAAATAAGTTGTCTTACAAATCAATAAACAACATCAATCCTGAAAAAAAAAAAAAAAATATTTCTATCAGGCCTAAAAATAAAAATTTACAAAGCTGATTTCCCAAAACCTCAATTCAAATGGCAAACATTGGGATTCTAGAACGACGTGAGAATGTGCATGCTACCAATGAAATATGATTAAATACAACAACAAAAATCATGACTGTCTGCAGTACTGCCTATAAATTTATTCCCATCCAAACAAGTGCCAACAGCTGATGAATAACAGGGCTATGCACTGTTGGCATTCATATGACATTAAGGAACAAGTTAAAATTATTGCATTTCAGACAGTAAAACACATAACATGCAGTGATGAAAGGGGGGAGGATGCTTTACAATTACAAAGAGCGTCTTTTAGTTTAGTTGAATATTTCCAATAGATGGCTGTTCTGTGTTATACACGCAAATAATAACAAAGACAGTTAAGTTAATCATTAAGAGTTGGTGACAAACATTCTTTCAAATTCTAAAATCAATTTACTAAGTGGGATTCCTTCAGATAAAAAAAATTCTAACAAAGTGTATAATAAATGTATGGATATTTACAAATTTTGTGAATATGTTTTTATAGTATTTCGCTTTCCACAACTGGCTGGTCCATGTCCTTATAGGAAGGCAAAGTGATACTACTCAAACTTGGGTACATAGAAAAATGAAACAGAAACTGTTTATGTAGTGACTCCATATTGAGTAAACCAAGCCATTTTTTCCTTGCTTAGCAACACTGCAATAAGCTACAATCTATCAGGGCATAAAAATAGACATCGCTACCAGTAATATAACGCAAGTAGTTTGCAACCTATACACTGAAAGGAAAAATTGTTAGAAGTCACAAAGTTTGGCACATTACGTATCATATAACTACCAAGTGAAACTACCTTCATAATAAAAACTAACTTCATTACCTAAAAACCTGAGAGAAGCTACTTACAAGATTGTGCCTAACTGGCCTCCCAACCCAAACATCGCAACAGTCAGTCAGACCAATTAGACAGCAGCTCGTTTGTTGTCAAGTTTTTCAAAGTATCAATTTCTGCCTGGTGTATAGATACCGAGTCTCCAGTATTTGTGATAAACAGCAGAGCCAATTTAGCACAACAATGAATACAACAGAGGTGATTAACATGTTATATTGTTATGTAAATTAGACCATACTCTATGCTATTTTCCTGAGGAGAATACTGAAATGCACAATCCAGGGGGGGAGTTGCATGACACGATTGGTTGAAATAATCGTCTTATTTGCATAAATTAATATTCATGAGCAATGAAAAACTCGTCTTTTCAGTAAAATTGTTCCAAAATGCTTTCTGATAGCATACATGTAAAAAATTGTTAGTTCTAAATTGACTGATTCTATCGTTACGAGCTGAAAAAAATAATCGAAAAAATGATGTAAAGGTATTTTTTGAGACACGTTTTCGATCGGACTCCAGCTAACTGTTGAAAGTAAGCACATGTTTTCTCTTTACCATGATCATAGCAAGTTACGAAATTCATGGAGAATGCAGAGGCACGTTTATATTACACTCTAGTACTATTGCTCAAAATGTTTTCGGTGACTTTTATTAG